TTATAAATAGTGCACTTCTCTTCTAATTTTGATATTTAATGAGTTACATATGATTATTCGGCATTTTATTGATGTTGACAAAATCCGACCATTCCAGCGTCAAAACGGCGAACTTTTGAAAAAAAATTTCGTTTTTCCTCAATAACTTCTAAACCGTTGGACCTACGGAAAAATTGTATAGAACCTTTCTTGTAGAGGACGACGAGATCTACAATTTCCATGTAAAAACTTTTAGCTAGCGTCAATGCTTTTCGAGTTATTTGCAAAAAACTGTTTTTTAGTTTTTCGTCCATAACTCTTGAAATATTAATGCTAGCGAAACATTTTTATATGGAAATTGTAGATCTCGTCGTCCTCTACAAGAAAGGTTCTATGCAATTTTGCTGTATCTCCAACGGTTTAAGAGATATTGGCAAAAAACGAAAATTTCGAAGAAATTGAAGGGGTACCCCTTGGAAAAATCTCGGAAAAATAAAAATATTTTTCGAACGAAAGTTCTCATCCTATATCATCTCAAAAATTAATTAATAAGAAATTTTTCATCAGAAACGATTCACAAGTTCCTAATTGGAACATTTCTCTATGTTATAGTTCGTAAATGACTCATGCAACATAAGTATACTGTGTAACAAAAAATGTTCTCTGAGAGGAAAAATCGACGATAGGGTATCTAATTTTCATTTAAATGAAACGAGGTTTGCGGTGGTGTAGGTGTTTCGATTCGGTCCCTTTCTGTCCGTCGCACGCCTCGGGGCTCACGCGGTACGCTTTCGAACTTTCGGCCAAAGTTTAATTGTCTTTTGCTTGCGTTCTATCTAAATTCGCCACAGCCATCGTTCCTCCAGCGTTTAATCCATTTGATAAGACGCGGTTTTTACCACATATCAATTTTCACAGAGATATTAGTACAAAATTATTCAAGTATTACGTGCTTACTCGTATAAAGAGAAGGAAGTAGCCTGTATAAATATTAATAATAAAGTCCAGAAAATTGCTAATTTTTATAGAAAATTTCAAGGCAGATAAATTTTTATATACATTTATTGATTTCTTGAATTATACATATAAGTACCATTTTGTTTCCTAATCTTTCTTCATCTTTCGTGTGAACTATCCAAGTGAATATCATTATATGCTCATTGTCAGATCTACGATCGTGCTCAGACCAGTCCCAACGCCATTTATCAAGAATCGACACGAACCTGCCGGAAAACGCAACAGACTGTATCGATTGATTCATTTTTAAAATAAAGTACGAAGATATCGATTCGTTCTTCGAACGAACGTACCGTGTCTACCGAGAAAAGATCCGTAAATAAAGCGTGAACATCTAGTCAAAGTTCTAATTTAGGCGAGGTCTCATTGATACCATCAAATGTAACGAGCAAGAAGCCCAGTGTTGTAGCCACAATAAAAACGACAATAATTTCTATCCTCGTTCTCGTTGACTCGCCGACGAGTGGCTCTCGCGAGATGTTTAAGAAATTTTCAAGTCTTTACAAATAAACCACCGCCATGACCTATCCTATGCGATCGGGCTGACTGCCGCGGTGCCTCCTTTTTGCTCGGCAGAAACAATAAACCGGGAATTTCGTGGCCTCGCCGCGTTG